TTTTTCCGGGAAAAAAAAAAAGGAGGAGGGGTAAACAAATTGGGGGGCTTTTAGGGAAAGGGGGGGGTTATTTTTCCCCCCCCCTTTTTTTTTAAAAAAAAATTTTGGATTTTTTTTTTTTTTCCCCCCCCCCCCCCCCCCCCCGCCCGCCCTTGCGCTTGGTGACGTGACGGCGTAGGCGACGGACGATCCCTTGCTGGGAAAAACGGTGGCTGTTAAGGGGTGGGTCCGCACGAAGCGAGACCAGAAGGCCTTTTCGTTCGTGGAGATTAACGACGGTTCTTGCATGAAGGGGGTGCAGGTGAGCCAGAGGGGGGGGGGGGGAAGGAAGGGAGAGAGAAGGTGGTGGTGAGAGAGGGAGAGAGGGAGAGAAGGAGAGGCCGAGGCGCGTACAGAAAAAGCGACGCAGCAAGGGGACAAACCAAGGCACATACGGTGGGAGATAGCCGTGGGGGAAGAGAACGGCTCGTATGCAATATATAGCAACCGTCCACCGCACAGAAAAGCCAAGATAAGAGGTTCGGCAGGGAAAATCTATCATAGAGGGCTGGCGAAGGCGGATATTATTAGACACATGGGCAATATTGAAGAATGCGTCGAAAGTACATGCTTACACTCATCGATGCCGTGTTCGTTCTTGGTTCTTGGCCTGTTCTGCGGGCATCCCCGGGCCTGTTCTGCGGTTTGTTCCGTTTTCCGTCAGGTCGTCATTCCGCAGGACGTGCCTACCTACTCGGCGGTGGAGAGGCTGACGACGGGCGCGTCGGTGTCCGTTACGGGGGTCGTCGTGGAGTCCCCCGGAAAGGGGCAGCGCTTCGAGGTCAAGGCGCAAGAGGTTCGTCGCGCGTGGTTGGACGCTTGTTGTTGGGCTGCTGTTTGTTGGTTTCTTTTTCGTTGTCGTTGTCGTTGTCGTTGATGTTGTTGTTGTTGTTGTTGTCGGTTGTTCGTGCCGCCGGTGCTGTTATTGCTGCTGCTGCTGCTGCTGCTGCTGCTGGGATACCTGCCCTTTGCGTGCGGACCACGAAGAATGGCGTGTTGTTCCTTCCGCGCGCACGAGGCAGGTATGCCCTTTTGATTCTATTCCCGTGCCAGGGCCCTGCAGCCACCACGCTTTCCGTTTCATCACAACCATACCTTTGAAGCCTACCCTCTGTTTTTTTTTATTGTTTCGTTTTTTTTTCTCGCCTTGCCCTCTGGGTCTGTGGTGACCGTTTTCATTTTCGTGGTCGTTGTCTTCATCCTCGTCGTCGTCATTTTCTCACGCGTGTGTCCATTCCTACCTTTTGTCTTACCGCTCGCCCGCCAATCAGGTGCACGTTGTCGGAGAGTGCCCCACCGAGTACCCCCTGCAGAAGAAGCGCCATACCCTAGAGTTCCTCCGGGGCATCGCGCACCTCCGCCCGCGGACCAACACCATTGCCGCCGTCGCCAGGGTCCGTTCCGCTCTCGCCCAGGTGAGGGGGGGGGGGGGGGGACGCACGGGGCCCCCCTCGGTTTTCGCTTTCCGTGGCACACACCCGGAGTTTTCGGTTTCGGTTACTGTGCTGTTGTGCGCTTAGGAGTGGTGGTGCTGATCGATGCCGGTTGCAGCGTAAAAATCGGTGCCAAGGGTGGTTGCGTTTGTTATTTTTTGTCTCGAGATCCGCGCCGAGATGAGATTCGGGCGACAGGCAAAGGACAGGATTGGTGTGTCGTCGAAGTACGCGAAAACGTACGCACTACAATACACCACCGCCTTTTGAATCTGAGTATCCCACATGCACACACACTTGCGCTCCGTTTCTCCTGTTCAGGCTACCCACGACTTTTTCCGAGAGGAGGGATTCCTGTACCTCCAGTCCCCCATCATCACCGCCTCCGACTGCGAGGGGGCCGGCGAGATGTTCCGCGTCACCACTCTGCCCTCCGAGGTATGTTTGTGAGTTCATGTGCCCGTGTACCGTCCACGGTGCTGCGTCGCTGACGTCGTCGATCGGCGCCAGGACGACCGCGCCTGTGACGTCATCAGGCTCTTGCTGTGTGCGCTGGTGCTGAATGTCCTTTTTTTAAGAGGGCGCCTCCTGTGACACTAGCGTTCGGTATGCAAGCACGCCTCGCCAGCTGTGTGAAGGGCAGCAGCACTGGACAACTTCGACGGCAGTGTGTGCCGGTGTCATTGATTTTGCCCAGGGGCTGCAGGGCGGCAACGCACTCGCGGTTGCCTATTGTTTCTCACCTCTGTGTTTGAGTTTGTTTCGAGGATCATTCGGATGCAATTGCGACTATCCCAATGTTCCCTACTTCTGATAGAGTGGCGCAGAATGTCCATTAGCCAGTCGTGTGTGTTGTGTCGTGCACATGTTGTAGACGGGGCCTATCTCTATTTTAGACGCTTGGCAACATGGACAGTCTTTCCAACGTTCCACGTGCGGAGAGACAAGACAAATGCACCCAACCTGCGTCGCCGCACAGTAGGGAAGCAGTCGCAGTCGCTCGAGCGTCTCGCTATGCTCGTAGCGGTGGGGCCGCGCTGGGCCCGCTTGCAGACTTGTGTGTAGAGGGTTCCCTCCCCTCCCCCATGTTGCAGGCTCCGGGGGAGCGCTGCGGCGGGCAGACCTAGTCTGTTATCTCTCAAGATCAGGTTCTTGTTATCCGTTTTGTCCGATACTGCCACTGCTGCTGCTGCTGCTGTTGCTTTGGCGTTGCCTCTGCCGCTGCTTGCTGGTTCTTCAGGTGTCTAAGGTGCCGACCCTTGAGGACGGCTCGACGGACTACTCCCAGGATTTCTTCGGGAAGCCGGCGTTTCTCACCGTGTCCGGACAGGTGTGTAAAGTTTTTTATGGCCACCGCGCTCGTTCCGTTTAAGTCTCCCCCCTTGCCTCTATTTAGCGTTAGCTTCCTACTGTAGGAGGTTGTTTCTTGGGGTTGTAAACACTTGTGCTGCTGCTCTCTTCAGAAACGGGTGCCGAGATTTGCTCCACTCGTGCATCGTCCCTCCTGGAGTCAAGCTCATGGACTCCAAAGGCCCCACCGTGTGGTGTTCTAGTACCCATAAACACCCATGACTCGCTGTTGGTTGCGGATGCATTTGCCCCCCGACCTACCAACACATCGCGCTGTTGGCGAAACATGCCCCCCCCCCTCTACTTGACCAGGTATTTTAGCACTAGATGCGGCCGAAAAATGACGACCAGTGTATTGGTTCATCGCGCAGGAAAGCGCTTCTGCCACCAAGGGTTTGCTATAATAGCGATGTATGTTGTCGCCGGATTGAAGCCGCCCCCCCCCCCCCGACACACACACGCCCGTTGTTTTGGCCTCCACCAGCTGTCTGGGGAAACCCACGCCTGCGCGCTGGGCGACGTGTACACGTTCGGGCCCACGTTCCGCGCCGAGAACAGCCAGACGACAAGGCACCTCGCCGAGTTCTGGATGATCGAGCCAGAGATGTCGTTCGCGGACCTCCGGGATGACATGGACAACGCGGTGAGTTGGTGAAGAGTTTTGATTTCCTTCGTTGAGTCGTTTTTCCACTCCAGAAGCGGTAAGTAGTATACTTGGATGTTCTCGTTTTGTTTTGTGCGGTGCACTGCTGCTGCTGCTGATGCTGCTGCTGATGCTGCTGCTGCTGCAAGTCCCCGTTCGTTCTTTTCATGGGTGTTTGTGATGGTCCCAGAAAACCTTTTGCTGCCGGTACTTGTGTCGGGAGGCGGATAGTAGAGCTGGCAGCACAGGCCGTGTGCGATGCTCGCGGTGGGACACCCCCTCCGCGGTGTGGTCTACTGTACCGTTTCACGCAATAAGAATGCACACACACACAACAACAGCAGCAGCAGCGGCACGCTTCTTTTTTATGGCACAAGGAAAAATAGCACACATACACTACGGCAGAAGCAGCATCACGCTTCCTTTTGATGGCACGACAAGGAAAAATGGCACACATACACTACGGCAGAAGCAGCATCACGCTTTTTTTTTTTAATGGTACGACGAAGAGCATAGGCACCAATCCACGACGGCGGTGTCAGCGCTCACGCCCCTTTTCTTGATTCTGAAAACAACCAGGAGGCTTTCGTGAAGCACGTGGTCTCTCACGCCATGGAAGTGTGCGGCTCTGACCTTGAGTTCTTCAACAAGTTCTACGACAAGGAGCTTCTCCAGAGGCTCCAGAGGATAAAGGACAAGCCTTTCGTCAGGGTGAGCCTTCGAAAGCATGTACTTTACCGATAGAAGTGACAGCGTCAAGGTGTGGGTGAGGAGGTGAGGCGGGGAGCGAAGGTGGTTTTTCAGGCCCAATCTAATTAGTCGAGCTTGTGGGTGTTGGGTTCGCCTGTGTGCATCGGGTTGTGTGTTCTTTCAATCCTGCATGGGTACGGCGTGCTTGCCGTACGCCATGGAGAGAAATGGTAACCGCTAGGCGGTGGAAAGGAAGGGGATGTAAGATAGAGTATGTCAAACACGTCAGAGGTGCCACTTGTGGCGAAAGCGCCACGGAGAGCTTGCGTTTGCCCCACTTATAGCACGAGCAACGATGCACCGTCTCAGACGAAGTTTGTGCTAAATCTTCAAGTGACAAAGGTAGACAACAAGTGAATAAGTGCCCTCCTCACCACCCCCCCCCCCCCCCGCTGCCCTCTCCCCGCCTCTTCTTGGCGTGTGTCCCCCTGGCCCGGTGCGGTACCCCCAAGCCGTGACTGCTCTCCCAAAAGAAATCCCCCAGGACCCTTTCCAGTGGGCGTTCCCTGATGTTTCCTTCCGGACCCACCTGCAAGTGAACGGGGTTGGGGAAAGAAAAGGGGGAAGGAAAAGGGGGGGGACTCCTAATCCTGCATGCCCTAATCCTTACACCATTTACCTCCCATCCCTTTTAAACCCGGACGGAACACCCCCGGTTCTCCCCCGAACAAGGTCTAAGGGGTGTTGGTTCCCGAAAACCAGGTTTTAAAGGGGGGGGGGGGGGGGTGGAAAATGATTTTTTCAAGGGGGGGGGAAGGTTTCGTCACCTCCTGGGGTGGGCTTGAATAGAGAGGTAATGCATATTTTGTGTGTGTGTTTTTTTTTTGGGGGGGGGGGCTAACGTACGAGAGTAGGAAAGCCCGAACAGCACCACCAAGAATCGTAGCGCGTATGCGTTTTTTTTTTTGTATTTTGCTGAGGCGGTTCCGGTTCGCATCGACTTAAGCAACTTGAAAAATTCGAGGTGATGCGCCCGGTTAGTTTGAAACTTGAGCGTCAGCGGCGGGTAAAAAGCACCACCTCAGGATTAGGTCCAGCCCTCATAGCACGGGCCTTCTCAAGTGTAATTCCGAAAGACTCACTCTCAGTTGAAAAATACGTGCATCTCGCGGGGTGATGCATACCAAGCACGCCTTTCGTGTGTGCGTGCGCGGGGTTAATGTTGGTTTTTTGCCTCAGACGGAGCACGAGCGCTGGCTGGCAGAGACGCGCTACGACACTGCCGTATTCGTGTACGACTACCCCCGCGACATCAAGGCCTTCTACATGAGGGACAACGAGGACGGGAAGACGGTGGCGGCGATGGACCTGCTCGTGCCCGGGGTTGGTGAGAGAAACGGGCGTTACAACCTGTAAACGGGCACAAAAATGCGGAGGATTCGTACGTGTGTGTGTGTGTGTTTTTATTATTAGCATCGACCGCGCTGACCACCTTGAGCGCCAACGGGAAAAATCAAGGCCTCTGGTAGGGGTTCAAATTCGAAAGATGCGCAACGCGCTGAATGCGAATACCAAAATGAATCTCTAGTGTGTGTGTGTGTGTGTGTAAATTTTGCGTCCGGAGTAGTCCAGAGTGAATGGCATCGGCCGCTTCCTTTCCAGAACCACACGGGGGGTGCGGTGCGGCAGTCACGTGGCATCCGCGGACCCTCGAGTACTTGTCCTTGGCAGAAGGATGGGTGGGTCAACTAACACAGCAACGGCGGCTATTCTTGAACTTTTTTTTTGCTCTTTCGCGACTGTTTTTTTTTTTGCGCTACCGCAGTACTGTAGTTCTTCTTGCAAGGTCGTGTCCACGCAATCCAGGAAAACGGCGCCTTGTTTTTTGTGGAGTTTGTTTCTGGGGGTCTTGCCCTTCGCTTGCCCTGCGCAGGGGCGACGAAGCACAGGGCAAAATAACAAGAACAACGTTTCCTAGGCGCCAGCAAGCTGTGTATTTTTCTTCTTTTGCAGGGGCACACGTTTGTATGTATGCTGTTATTTATTTTTGTCTTTGAGCCGCCAAACTCCCACGACCGTTTTTCTCCCCTTTTTGTATGAAAAAGTACAGAAATAACAGAAAGACTACCCGTTCGAGATATGTCCACAGCAAAGGGGGTGTGTTGAACGAAGTCTTTGGAATGAGTGGGGAGGGAAACCGGCTGGAAACTGGAGTTATTTTTGAGCATACAATTGTATGGAAGCCTAGAAGTATACGCTTAACTTTTGTTTTTGTTCTCTTTCCGCGATGATTTGGGTTGTCGTGCGCTCGGAACAACAACTATATCGCAGGCGAGCTGATTGGTGGGAGCCAGCGCGAGGAGCGACTAGAGCAGCTCGAAGCGAAGATGGTGGAGTTCAACTTGAGCCCCGAGGACTATTGGTGGTACAACGACCTGCGCAGGTAATACTTTGGCTGCATTGCGGGCTTGGCTTTATTGGGCTTTACGATGCCTTTGCACTGTATCATTTCGCAACACTGCCGACGTGGAATCTGCCCCCCATCCCCGCCCCTCCTGCTTTTTTTTTTTATATTCGTCGTCCCATCCGAAGAAAACCGTTGCTCGCGGTTACTTCCTGCCGTAGGCATGCCAATCTTGTACTGTAATAATGATGGGGCCGTTGTCCTTTGCCGTGCGTGCCTTCAATGGCCAACGCGGTGCAGCAGTGTGATAGTGGTTGATCCTCGTGTGCAAGGCCGCACAAATGGGGCCGCGGCCGCTCTGCACAAGGCGGGTGAATAATTCACGAGTCAAAATGGGAGTCTTTGAAGTTGTCTCATGCTCTGAATAGTGTCGGGTGCTCGGTAAAATGCCGGCCCAAATGCCTTGGCGCGTATTCATCACGTGGTTCGGTGTATCTCAATAAGATGCATCCGCCCAGATGGTGTCTTAAGCTATGGGCCCAAATACCATATACCACGACGCTTCCATGACCTACATACACTTGTACTTCGACCCCCCCCCCCCCCCCCGGTGCCCTCTGCGTGTAATCGGTATCTCTGTAGGTACGGTAGCGTGCCGCACGCAGGCTACGGCCTCGGGTTCGAGCGGTTGGTTTGCTACGTCACCGGCGTGGAGAACATCCGGGACGCCATCGCCTTCCCGCGATCGCCGGGCAGCGCAGAGTTTTGATTTTGTCCTCATGTTTTTAGTCACACGTCTTGATTTGTTCTTTTTTAGTCTTGTAGTGTAGTTCGCTCTTAATGTAGTTCCTTTCTGAACGTCGTGTCTGTCCCGTCGTCCGGTATTGCTCTACCGAAGCATCAACAGATAAAGGGAAGTTACATAGGACATCTTCCGTATTCTTGCCACCCCTCTTTCTTATGCTGCGTCCAAAAAGAGCTAGCTGCGATTGATTCAGCTGCGCATGTATGGAAGTAGGGGCCACCCAGTGTGGCGAGCTGCAAGCGATAGTTTTTAGACCCAACATTCCGAAACCAACAGTCCAGGACCCACTCTCCTGGAGAGGTTCTTTCGGAGGCAGAACGAGACATGCACCTTGTGGTGGGACGCACTTGTACGCGGACTTGAAAGCCCTTGCTGCTCACCATCGCTTCCGAGATCGGGGTACGTACTCACCTTTTGCGATGCGGTCGCATGATGGCGGGCTAGCCGAGGAGCTTCGCCAATTGAAAAGGGCGCGATGGGTAAAGGCAAGCACAACTTGCAGCCAGCCGTGCGCGAACACACCGAGAGAGCAGTGGCACATCAGTCACATGCCGCAGGAACAGCAAATAAGCTACCCCCGAACAAGCACACCACCAACCGTACGGAAAGCAACTCTGCAGCAGGCGTTTGCTGAACCCGTCGCATTGCATCACCCAAAGCATGGATGAATAGGTCGAAGCATATACTCATGAACCCCCCGCCCCGCCAAGACAGCGCAATTGCCCGGTGCTTACATCTCTCACAGCAGGAACCAGAATTCCCGTGCTTGAGCATTCGCAACGGCACGTGGGAAAAGTCGTCGCCAACGACCATTTGCTCGAGTGAGTAGACCTGAACGTTCCGATAGGAACCTTCCGGCGCTCAATTCTGCGGACTGTGACACCGCGGTAACTCGGAAGGAGCACAAGAAGAACAACCGGAATACCATTCCACAAAGGCGGCAGTGGCTGCCTGTGTCCCTCTTCCCTCCTCCTCCAACGCATCACTCTGTCTGCCAGAAAATAAGGCTTCCTTACTCCCACAAGCCTCGTCCGCTTGGTTGGATGGGTTGGTACCGTGCGTGGTAAATACAAGTCCGGACAGAGCGCCGACATGACCAAGCAACTCCGATTTCGCGAAGTGGTGCTTGTCAAAAATGTGGTGTCTCTGTCCCTGGGTTGGTTCGCTTGTCAAAATTCATGCCGAAGAATAGGCTAGGTAAAATGTGTGAGCTACTGCCGTCACTTCCAAGTGCTGTTGAATTCCTCTCTATCGACAAAGAGAAGGCATGGCACGTGGCACCATGACAAAAAAACACGTGTTTTCGTTTGGTTCTCAGACGCTGAGCTTCCCGGCAAAGCGCGAAGGGAACGGCTTCCCGTTGACCTTGCACGCGCCCCCGTCGCAGTAGCCGTCGCGGAGCGTACTCAGAGGATCTACGACACGGCAGCCGCCTCCACCACACGCCGGGCTGTGGCAGGAGATGAAGTCGCAGTTTCCACCTGCGTGTTACGTGAACAAGATCCAGCAGTTGTTCTTGGGAGAGCGCAAATCTCGGTAACAACAAGGAAGTGTTGTCGACAAAAAAACACACATAGCAAACACAACGGATGTCGGTGGCGGCACGTGCGTGCGGCAGCAGTATTGAAGTGACCTTGGGCATGTTGGGGGTCCTCATGTATTTTACGGACCGACAGAACATCAACCCCCGTGAGGGATGGAGTGCTGATATCTGCACCGTATGTCTGTGGTAAAAGGGGCCGCTTGGTGTCTGTTTGGGGACATGTGGGGGGTGGAAAACGCGCCATTCCACCCGAACACACCGACCGACCGCTGGTCAATGAAGAGGCTTGGACAATACCACCGTAGTTTTTCCTATACGAACTCCTCTTACCCTTGCACGAGGGACCCCGACAATTCTGAAATGAACAAGAGCCCCCAGGACACGATGGTCCATCCGCGCAGTTCGAGTAGCCGCACCCACCTCCCTGCGGGGATGACATCGCCACCGCGAGCGAGCATGTGAGGACAGAGAGCTGAACATGGCATATGGCGAGGATTCGAATCCTACTGCTGTGTCGGTTGAAACATGTAGAAAGAGTTTCACGCCCCCTATTTGATCTGCACTAGTCTACTTTTAGTCTGCCGTCTGCAGCCCACATAGTACCTCTGGAGAGCGGTTCTGGTCTACAGCACTTGAAGAGCCGCTGTCCTCTACTTGAAGAGAGCGTACAACAATACTGCTGTAGCCATGGTGAGGAATTGACAACTGATGCTATCTACAGCAGTATGGTATTGGTCTCCTCGTTGTTTTCTTTCCATCCCTTAGATGGCGACACACTCCGTCACTCACAGCAGCCTTCCGTGTACCCTGGTGCCAGTCAGTACTCGCATCAGTCAGTGAGCACTCGTTGTTATATTCCTCATCCTTCGAGCCTAGAAATAGTCTATAACCAACCCGGTCGGTTGTGATGCACCCACCTCACACACGAAATCGCACGGTACTGGCCGCCGGGTGGCCGCTGCTGCACCCACAAGATTTCCAGATATGTGAGCAACCGAAACCACTAGCATAGCAGCGTATGCCTTCCACCGTCGCCGTGCAATCTCCATGCTGCAGAAGTAGCATGGGTAGCAGCAAATATCAGTCGGAGGGATCCTCAAGATCTCAACCAAAGATCCAAGCCGACTTGCGCACAAAACCTGGAAGGCTTTTCGCTCGTGGGGATCCAACGTGATAATGCGGAGCCCCTTCGGTTGCGTGTCCCCCGCGAGTCCCAGGCAAATCCCGGGGCTGCTGTTTCGTGCACAACCGCTCCTTTGGTCGCAGCAGTGTCGTCGTGATCTGAGCGGTCAGGGAGACACCGCGGCTCTCACGCTGCAACTGGGGTCTCTGCTATCGAAGGTGAAGTACGAAAAAGTCACCTGCAAATGGTTTTTGCCCCCGTCCATTTGAGCTCGCGCGCAAACCCTCCACAAGACTCCAGAGGGTTTGTACCGCAGTCTGCAGAGGTGTGTTTGTCCGTCGAAGGCTTTGCTGGGGTGAGCTGGTGTGCAAGGAGTGCCTGTGTGCCTGGAGCAACGACTGGGCAAGGTCTTGATTGCTTGGTATGCATTGGTTGGGTTTTCCACCCGAGTTTGAAGGTCCGTCTGCACGACTAGAAACACGAGAGAAGGTGTTGGGTGTGGAGATTGGGCAGACAATAGGACAGACACACCCCATCCAACTCTCTTGTTATGCAGCACACAGTAGTGGCAGCAGCAGTACAGTAGTCTTAGCCCCCGCTTTGCACGAAGTAGGGCGAACCCTGTGCTGGCTTAAGATACGGCGGGGTGGTGTGAGAAAACAGCGAACCCCTCTTGTTTCTCTCTCTTGGACCCCACAAGGATTTGGTGTACATTGTCTCAACCTACGAATTTCAAAGCGCCAAATGATCGCAGCGCGGGAACACTTTGGTAGCAGCAACGAGCGATTTGGTACTACTGTTGTGGATCTTGTCCAGGTACTGTGTTGTGCTGTTTATGTATCTCTCTTCGTGGGATGCAAGATTTGCATAACCTCGGGTGACAAAAAAAAATGTTTCAGATCCAGCCCGTCGTTGTATTTGTCCCTGTGCGCAACCCTTCCACGGAGGGGCACCTGTTCGACGGCGTGTTGTTTCAACACCAAAAACCGTTTCGTACAGGCCGCGAACGGGTCGTGTACCCCTGTGGTTGCCCGTAAACTGGTGTAAAAGACCGTGTTTGTTGGTGTCAATGAAGAAGGGATATCCACGTGTTTGTAATTTACCTTGTATGCTACGGTTGGATAAACATTACTGGCAACATCATGTGTGGCGATCGTCGCGCGTTCTTTCAACGGCATCCATTTCATTCGCCGATAAAGAAACCCACGCACGGCCCGAGGAACCACCCAGGGCAAGACGCTAACCCTATCCGTGTCTTGGCCGACAAGACCATTCGATGGTAACCAACCCTCTTCCTTCCGACCCACACAAGGGCTGCTGGCACGTTTGTCGCCGAATTTCACAGCCGAGAGGAGAGGCGTCACACAAGTTGGAGCGAGCAATCCAGAACCATGGATGAGGCCCGCGCGCTGCTGGAGCAGCTGATGGGTCGGGAACGGGACATTCCTGTGGACAAGAGGACAAACCGTTCCAGGAAGATCTGGGACGACGACATCTGCAAGCCGTACCTCTGCGGTGCGTTCGCTTTTTCTTTTCTTGTTGGCGTAACTTTGTACCACAACAAGGCCCAGGCCCATTTTGCACCCCTGAGGCGAGAGAGGGAGCCAACAGGGACGGGCATTTTTCAGGAGACTTTGCGGTATTTGGCAGTATTCAGGATTGGTTGGTAACGGTGTTGGCAGGAAAGGGTTCGTGACGCCTGCCGGAATAGCGTATGCCTTTTTCTTTGTGTGGTGTGCCAGGCCAGCCCGCCTCGCGTTCGGTTTTCATCACGGCAAATACTTGCGAGCTCTGTGCGACTGGTACACACAACACCAGGTACCGGTTACATTAGAACGGTAGCAAGCGGGAAACCATTTCCTCTCTGGACGAAACCCTGCCATGCTTCGGATAGGCACCCTGGCTTTGCTGCTGACCGCCCTTTGTGTGACAAGTGTCCCAACATGCCGAGCCAAAAGAGGCATCGCACACTTTGACGAGGAACTCGGACATGTGTTTTTGTTTGTTGTGCGTGGGGCTCGTCGGTAGATCTCACCGTGCTTCCATCTTTTCACCAGGGTTGGTTCCTTCTCTCGCTCCGTTCTCATTTGTACTCGAGTCAAAAAAGTATCATTGTCCCGTTCAACTACCTCAAAGGGTTGATAGACACGGAAAGGATTTCCGGGGGGGTACAGGTCTGTGCTTGACCTTCGCCCCCCCTCCTCCCTTCGCCCGCTTCTCTCGGAATTGGTTCCGACTGCCGCTTCTTGTCTGTTTTGTGCGTGTTTGGCTCCCGACAGGTCTGTGCCCGTACGTGGACTTCAGGAATACAAGGAGCGATCTCGGTGAGAGAGACAGAGACAGACAGGGACAGAGACACAGAGAGAGAGAGAGAGAGAGACAGGGGGTGTTGCCCTCATGTCTCTTGCTCAGGCGGGAAGAGGAACAAGAAAAAAAACGAGCAGGAATTAGATACCAGTGGTGGCAATCTACCGTAGGCTTTTGCCGAGCAGTGTTTGTTTTGCTCTTGCTGGTCGCGATGCGTTTGTGTGTGTCGTATTGCTTTGCCGCTGTTTAATTTCTCGCGGCGGCGCGTGGAACACTCTTGTTCTTGTTTTTGTCCCATCCCACGCTGGTTTAGGAGCTCCTGCTGTCCGTGTTGCGTGACCGCCGTGGTTGACAAAATCGTTAGTGCTATTGTGGCTGTTATTGAGGCGGTGATTGCGAGCGTCTCTACGCTTTTGCTGCTGTTTTCTTGAACCGTTTTTTTTGGCTGTCGTCGTCGTCGTTGCTGCTGCTGCTGCTGCTACAACCATTTGCTGCGCGTTCTCTCAGGCGAGCACCCACCGAACCAGGACCACGATCCCGACGTCAAGGCCCAGTGGGACAAGCTCTCCGAGGACGAGAAGGTAGGTTAAAAGCAGGCGCAGCAGGCCGTTGACCGAGTTCTTGCGTTTCGTCGCCTTCCGATGGTGGCATCCACCCCATCCATCCGTATGAAGAAGCGGAAACGAAAACGACGTGATGCGTCTCGTGGTATAAGACGACAGCGGTGCACGGCAAAATGGACTCTCGATCGATCCCGTCCCGTCCCTCGCACACGGGCAAACAAGGAAGCTAGTCAACGGCAGGCACAAGCATGCTACTGTTGTCGCGGGGGCAACTTAGAAGAGCCAAGCTTCCTTTTTGGTGCACGCGGCCATCGGTTGTGACAGGCATATATCAGTCCCGTGGGCGAGCAGAAAGGGGGAGAAAGAGGGCCGCATGGACTCACTGGTGGTGCTGGTGCTGTGTGCTTGCCTACAGGACCAAGCGTCGTGCCAAATGGCTTGGGCGTTACGCTTGCGCTCCGCGGACGTGGAAGCCTCACGTGCAGCAACAACCGCGAGGCCACTAGGCCGCCCGTCGATTGCTTTGCCGAGTGTGCGTGCTCACTAACCATCGCGCGCCCCTTCCTTGCCCTCTGCCGATGCCTTGCGTGATGAATACGGCGATTGCGCACATGATGATGGTCATGGTGATGGTGATGGTGTGGCAGGACAAGTACGGGTACGAGCGGGAATTGATGACGTACCTGATGGATCTCGTGGTCACCTGCGACCGAAGGGTGAGCGAATTGATTTTTATCCAGCAAAACCATGGATCGGTCGCCCTAGCTCATTGTTGTTGTTGTTGTTGTTGGTTGTTGGTCGTTGTTATTGTTTGTCTAGTTGGTGCCACAATAGAAGCATGTTGTACCGATGGAGTTCGCCCGTTTTCCTCAGCAGGCAGCGACGCACTTGGCGACTAGTTCGGTCTTTCGGTTTGTCGTCTGTGTACTCAGCCAGGGCCGTCTCTCTTCCCACCCGCCCACCCACCCACGCACCTACCCCGCGTGCCCTTGCCTCGGCCCGGGGGGCCGTCGTGTGACGAACCACAGGTAGAGAAGAACAAGGAGCGCCTAAGGCTTGAGCAGGGTGACGATAACGTTAAGGACAGCCAGATCGCCAGGTTAATCGACATGGAGAGAGTTGTAAGTCTGGGTGGACCCCTTGCTGCTGCTGTTTTACCTCTGCTTTCGTCGTGAATTCAACGCAAGTTGTTGTTGTTGTTTCGTGGTGTAGGTCTTGTTGTTGGTTGTGTCGCATTGGTCATAGTGGTTTTTCCTGCTGAGGCCCTTGCTGCTACTCTTGTTATAAAGAGTTTGGCGCATGTTCTTGAGGTTTTGGTTTTGGTCCTTGGCCAAATGAATCTTGACCTTCAGTGTCGTTGCCGTTCCCGTTACCGTTACGGCTGCAGATGAGCGAGAAGATGGAGCTGTCGGAGAAGCAGGCGGAGGAGGGGCTCGTCGACGAAGCGCAGGCCCTCCTTGCCGAGGTGAGGTTCTTGTTGTGGTGCACATGGGTTTTTTGGTGGGTTTTGTGTGGAAGGTTCGGGTGCGGCATGGGACGGTTATTGTTGGGCTCTCCTTGCCGAGGTGAGGGTCTGTTGTGGTGGACACGGGTTTTGGTCGGTTTGGTGTGGAATGGTGTTGGACGGTTATTCGTCGACAAAGCGCAGGCTCTCCCGGGTCTGTTGTGGCACGTACGGGTTTTGCTCGGTTTGGTATGGAACGGGTGTGGGATGGAATGGTTCGGCGGGTGGAACAGGGGCTCGTTCGACGAAGGGCGAAAGCTCTTGCTGCCGAGGACCGTGGCGGCGCGGTAGGTGTGCTACGGGTCAGGCGTGACATGGAGCGGCTTTGGTTGAGTAATGTAGGTCTGTCGCAATGGCTACCGCTCAGGTTCGCGCCGTGTTCTCTTGTCTTGCCCCTCGTTAAATGAATAGAAAAATGATGTTTCGCATTCCCGCTGCGGACATGGAGACAGACCACACCACTTAAAGGTGAACGCACACGTGGTTTTGCTTTGGCTTGTTTGACGTTTTGACGTTTTTGCTGTGGCCAAGGTGGCATGGCTGCGCCCGCCGGAACCGATCGCAATCATTGCCCACCGCAGCAACGTTCTTCACCTCATTGTCGTGGCGATGCTGTGGCTGCTGCTCCGCATCGTGCATGCTTTTTACGTTTCTGCCTGCTTCGTTTGTCTACTTTCCGACTTTCGCGTGTTACCCTGACCACGAAACAGGTCGCGCGGATGCGGGAGCACAAGAGCGCGATCGAGAAGCAGATGGCGGAGAAAAACGAGAACAGCAAGAGGGACATCGTGTGCGAGGTGAGAGAGGGGGGGGGGAGGAGAGCCTTGTACAATGGGATGATAGTGCCTGCTATGTGTATGGCCGCTTTCGAGAGCATGAGATGGGGCGGGTGCTGCCGGCGATAACATGACAAGATAACCTAAACCACGTGTTTCTGTGGTGTAGTGCCCTGGTTTGTAGCCCCTGGTTTTGTACAAGCGGTGCGCGCCTTGTTTATTTTTATTTCTGTGTTGGCCTTTTCCGTGGTGGCACATGGCTACCATCCCTTCGATGGAGCGCGCGAGACGCCCATCGCGCTGCTGTCCAAGCTGATAACACCCTTCGATCGACTCTCAAGACGTTGCCGGGCGCGCCCTTCTGTGCTGTTCTCTGGCGAGGGCTCTTGATTTCTTTTTTTTTTCTTTCTTGCCGCTTTCTTGACAGGTGAGCGGCAACATCATGCTGGTGTCGGGCAACATCCTTTCCTCCGCCGAGAACGAGGAGCGCATCCGGTGCCACTTCCAGGGCAAGCAGTACCTCGGCTGGAAGGCCGTTCGGGACAAGCTCAAGGAGCTCAAGGAGAAGTTCGAGAACAAGCCCATCAGGTAAATTTACACCGGCACAGCAGTAGCACTATAATAGCAGCTCTACAGCGGTAGGAATCAGCGTCTCTTACAGCGGTAGCACTAGCACCAGCAGCACCAGCATAACTTCGGCCGTAGCAGTGGTAGGAGAACCAGCAGTACTAGCAGCTGCAGCGCCAGCGGGATATTGTTCCTTGAGGGTGTGGGCGTGGTCAAGGTCGACCAGAATGCGTTAACGCTCTTGTTGTTGTTTTGTGGTTGAATATTGGAGTCGAAACATAAGAGGCAGGATAGAGGGACTCTGGGGGACCGTTCAGACTAGCGGGAGCTTAAGAACTGGGCCGGTCGGCCTGTCCGCTCTAAGGCCGACGCGGGACGGTTCACTCTAGCGGGACCTGCAGAACTGGGCCGGTCGGCCTGTCCGCTGTAAGGCCGGCGCGGGACGGTTCACACTAGCGGGACCTGCAGAACTGGGTCGGTCGGCCTGTCCGCTCTAAGGCCGACGTGCTCGCCTGGCCGCGCAAGGGAGTTTTGGGAACAATTGATACGGTCCGGTACCGGTAGCATTGATCAAAGCAGCATGAAAGCCTTTCAATGCCGTGGCAATACCAAAAACCTCGTGAGGTGTTCCAAGTAGGTGGTGAAAGCGTCAAGTTGGCGTCCTTTTTTTTTTCTTGCGTACGCTTGATGTAGAGAAGTGTGAAATGTTATTTAGTCCAATCTCTCTTGGCCAAGGTTGCTGTTCACTGGAAGAAAAACAATTTTGTCATTTGCTGCCCACCTTTTCTCCTACCCCTACAATATCTTTTGAGTGCAGGGAGAGGAGCAGAGAAGTTGGAGCAAGTGGAGGAGGAGGGGGGGGGGGAGATCGAGACCGTGAGAGGGACAGGTCAAGAGAGAGGGCACGATCTAGGGATCGCGGGCGATCGCGGGACCGATCCCGTGACCGTTCCCGAGAACGTTCCCGGGACCGTTCGCGAGACCGGGGCAGGGACAGGGGCAGAGGCAGAGACAGCAGAGACAGAGGCAGGGATCGGGATAGGGATCGGGATCGGGATAGCCGCGACAGAGGTCGGTCGTCCTACCGCGGGGGGGGGGACCCTGAACCCTTCCCCCCGCCCCCCCCCTCG